TTTCTTGCCTATGGTAAGGTTGATGCGACTCTAACAACTGTCTGTTCAATATAAAGCTGCCAACAGCTGGTTAGCCTAGCTTAGCATAATGACTAGAAACAGCTATCTGAGGATCTGTCTACTTGCACCTTTAAAGCTCACTAAATAACCAGTTATATTTCATTGCATATATTTACAAAAACTGAAGTATAAAAACAAGAAGTTGTGGTTTTATATTTGGTCCTGCACATAACCCCAGTATCATTTTAGGGGAATGTTATCAATTTTCCTATCTAATCAAAACAGTGGATGCCTACTTCCCAAAGTGTTGCTGTCCCATATACATTTAGTTACATTTAGCCATGCAGATATGTTTTTTTTTTCTTCTGAAATATGTTTCTCCTATTTGAGGTGAGGACAGTTTCATTTGTTGTCCTTATATCAGTACAAAAAAAAAATCTTAATCACCATGCACATTTTAAATATTTCTGCTTAAAGATAACTGAGACAATGTACTTTTACAATTTGTGCAAATTGACTAGGTGAAATGCACGCCTGTCTTTAATTGCCTGGAATGAAATGTTTTCTTTGATGTCCCTTTAGTTGCTTTCTTCCACTAACAGACACAGACATAGATAGGAGAAAGCACGCTCTTGTTTAGTTTTACCTGTGGTTTCTTTTATCTTGGGCATCCTGTGAGTGCCATCCCGTGTAATTGTAAACCCAGGCTCAGCACTGGTAGCTGCATGGATCTTCCTCAGAAGGGTGGGGTCTATTGGATGTCCAGCCTTGCCCTGGCCTAGGGGACCATACCCTTTCTCTTCAGCACTTACATAACTCAGCCCCCTGAGTGAGGACTCAGACAGTACATGCATATTTTCTGTGGTACAAAGAGGAGAATCCATAGGAGTGACACAGTTGCTGCTGCCTGTGCTACAACCGGCATCTAGAGAAGAGCACTGGGAGCTTTGGAGAGAATGAATGCCTTCACTCTGTATTGATGACATGCGCTTGTTCACATGGTATTCATATAACCGTGTGACATCTTGCTCAGATGATGGAATCTTAATTTGCTGCTGCTCGTTATCCTGTGAAGTGGCATCTCCGTCTGCAGGAATGGGCCCTTTGGATGGGGAGCGGAGACTGGCATTTAAGTGTTGGCTTCTTTCATATGAGTCCTGCTTTTCTCCCTTCACTGTTAACCTCTCTGCGTGGGAAGCCTGTGAGTCATTCACACATTCTGGAGAGAGATTCTCTGCCATTTTGTTTCCTGCTCTCTGCTGCCATTTTTGGTGTCTGTCTTTAAAGTGAGTTCGCCCCAGATCAAGTTGATTCATGTAATAGGAATCTCTCACAGTGAAAGCGTTATACTTCCCAACGAGATGAGGGGGCTCCTCTCTAGCTGAATCTTGAGAGGTCGTGTGCGCTCTTTCAGAGGATTCACATGCATCTGATTGGCTTCTGCTCTCTGCCACCTTCTGTTTTCCTCTTTGCCTGCTCATTACTGAGCCCATGTGCATCTTAGTGAAGTACTCACTGACTGATTTTATTTCCATGGTCTCTGGCTCCATCTCGCCGCCATCTGAGTGAAATATCTGGGAGGAAGAGACAGCAGACGATTTCGCCTCTTCCTGATGCTCCTGAGGGTTGTACTGCATAGCTCCTGCGCCACCACTGTTAAGTGCAGTCACCTCTGTCTTCTCCTCATTCACTGCATGGTATCCTTCTGTCATGGCTACATGCATCCTCAGGTGGTTCTCTGAGTGTCTGTGAGCACTGGCCAGCTCCGAGCTCTCTGTCATCTCAGAGGAGTTTGTTTCATTGCCAGAATCTGAAGAATCAGGACTAAATGCTCGTGATAGCTCTACACCTGTGTACCACACAAAAACAAATACAGTATCTCATTAGCAACATCAGCTGAGGCACATGGAAAATATCCCGCATTAGGTAGTGAGTCAAATATAATATATGGTAATGACAATGTAAATCACTATGTAAATGATAAAAAAAAGGTGTTTACACAACACAGATGATAATAAATACAAATGACTATATAGTAGCATCCCACTTAAAATTAAAATAGCATTTTGGCATCTATAAAATACTGAGAGAGCAGACTATTAAAATGACTATTTAAAATGATCTGATTCAGCATTTTCTATGATAGTAAAGCAACAGGTTTTTGGCATTGTGCAGTGTGTGTGGTTGAGAAAAAAATCCACAAAACAACAACACAGTTTGACAAAATGAATGATATAGCAATGAACACAACAGTTTGTACGTATGAAGAAAAACACATACAAATAGGAACACTGAACAAAATGGGCTTTATTGGAAAAAAAGAACAACAAATCAAAAGTGAATGGCTGGAACATGTTAATGGATGGTGTTAATGGATGAATGTTACAATAGAGTAAGCAGAACCTGTACTACTCTCTGACTCTGCTGGACTCTGTTCCTCAGATGCTGCCAAGGCCTCAAGTGCCTGCAAGGTGGACACCACTGCATCATCTAGAGGCTCCCTGTGGCCCTGTGCCCTGTGGGTGGACACTGAATCTATGAGAGACACTGGGATATCATTGCGAGCCCCCTGGGTGCAAGTTCCGGCCCCCTGGTGCTCCTCCTCATCAGAGCTGTCCCTGAAACCAGGAGGAGGAGCAGCAATGGCCAGATTAAGAGAGTGCAGCAGTACGTCATTGTCCTCCTCATCATTACCCTCTGGTGGGGGAGGGAGGGAGGTCAAGTCAATGATGTCATCACTGGACCCTGAGAGCGAGAGTAACATGGGCTTCTCTATGTCACTCATCATCATGTCCTCCTCACAGCTGATATCATCCTCATCCTCTGCATCATCTGTTGTCTCTGCATAGCAAATATCATGCAGCAGTGGCTCCTCAATGCACTCTGTAGGGCCAAAGATTTTGGTGGAGTATTGATACCCATCCCCATCTTCTATGGCATCAATCATCTTATAGTCCCCCTCGAGACGCCGATACATGGGGCTGTGATTGTCTAGAACCTCTGGGCTTTCATCCATCAGTCTCTGGTAGCCCAGATTTTGGGGGTTTATACTGTCTAATGGAGGATCTCCAAATATGAAGGAGACCTTTGCACTCCTCGAAGAGTCTTGGGGTTTGGGCCTTGGGACACTAAGGTAAGTTTGGGAGCAAGGGACTCTGCAGCACTCTGTTCTATCTGCCAGATGCAATGCATGCTGAGGCTGGTGAATCTCAGTTATGTAAACCGGTTGGCCTTCACATCTGCCACGGTCACGGTAGTCATACTCGCGATCAGAATAATCTTGGCTGCAGCTCTGGTTGTTTCTCTCTTCACTTCCTTTATGGGGTGTGCTGTATGTGCACTCAATGGCCTGGTAGTTCTGCTTTATTCTCGCTGCATGGCCTGCAAAGAGTAAACAAAAACTGAACAAAGTCTGTTTAAAAACACAAGGTTCTGATGAGTCATGTTGCTATTAATTCAGACATACTTGTTTCCATACTGTCTGTGTTTTTGGCGACATTGAAGATGGAGCGTCGCGAGTCCACCAGTAATCTGTAGTAGCCAGCGGTCAAACAGGCCAGATTCATTGCATCAACAGACTCCATTAAGAGAGTGATGGGCTGTGAAAGAGGCAGATAAGCAGATGACAAGGAGTGCAAAATAAATGGGGGAGCAGGTCTGTAGAATGAGGTTATAATTACTTCTAAATATACTTGGCGTTGTTTTTGTGTAAAACCGTAGAAAATATTTACAAAAGTCAGCACATGCTTGCTTTTTGAAAAAGCAGAAAGGTTGTTAACCTTTACATCCAGGACATGTAGTTCCACTCTAACTCTATTTTCATCTTCTGTATACATCTCGATGCGGTTGACATGACTGAAATCAGCCAGAAGTGCCACCAGGTTTGTTTTGGTGTTAATCACATGACTGATGCCATATTTGGGTCCCACCAGTAAAGTCACTTCTGTGTGCTTCTCACCTTGCTGTAAAAGAGAAGAGAGAGTGAGCACAAAGGCAAGGCAGGTTTATTTATAAAGCACATTTTCATACACAAAGGCAATTCAAAGTGCTTAACACAATGCAAACAAATAAAATATTAAAATGCATACATATGTAAAACATTCAAATGCAAACTAAGTTCAAACATTTAATGCACATTAAAAGCAACATGCAAGTGTAGCTACCAAGTATTTTTAGGAAAGCTGTGGCAGACTGTGGATTCTCACTGTTCTCATAATACTTTGTACCCCTTCACCTCAGTTTTCACAACACTAACTTCTGAGTATACTTTCTTCTGGAGATTTGAAACACCAGTTTTTATACAGTCATACAGTATATGCATTCCGCTGTGGCACACCAGCGCTCACCTCCATGAGTTTGGCGCCCCTTGTGATCAGGATATGTTTGAAACTATATCAATATGTTTGTGCACATAAAATAATTACTTGTGCTCAAACCATTTTTGAAAACTGACATGTGAAAATGTTAAACATTAACCTACGTAAGCACCCCATTAATGGCCCAGATGACTCCAAAACTGGTTCCATTCATTTGTACATTGTTTGTACTCACAATTAGTGTAGATTTAAACACTCGTCCTCCATAGAGTCTTAAGTCACTGAGATACTTCAGATAATGGACCTTTGCCTGCAAAGCAGTCAGCTGGAATGGGAAGGAAGCAAGAGACAGAGGGTGAGATACAAGCTGAAATATTTTACATTATCTTCACAGCAGAATGTAATGTTCAGCTGAGTTTAAAGAAAATGCAATATTATGTGTTCAAGCCACCACCCTGCCCATTATTGTGAAGCCACCACTAGGTGGTAGTCAAGAGTCTTTTCACTTAAGGCACAAAAAGGACAGATGGGTTGATGAAGAGCTGGAACACTACCTTTTTACCGGGTGGTACCAGGTTCTGGTTAGTTTTGAGGATGTGAGTAAGGGCTTTCTTGATGTTCTTCTCTTTCATGCTAGAAAGCACTGCAGGAGGCAGGAACAACGCCAAACCCCACTCCTTCCTAGAAAATGCACAATTCATAAAGAATAAAAAGATCCCTCAGTCACTATGTAAAACAGTCCAGCCATCTTGATCACTGATTGATTTATTTCACCCAAAGGTGGTGCATTGATTAACTGACAGGCTGCAGTCAGAATTATTAATTAACCAGTGGGAATGGATCTTCTGGCACTGCAGCAGCAGAGTACTAGTGAGATCAATTATTTAATTGTAAGAGCATTCTGTACTAGTAGTATCCTCTACAGCAGGGATAGGTCATTAGAAACAACAAAACTGCTCTGTAGATGGAAGACATGCAGTTGATGCCAGTGAACATGGCACAGAGTGAAATCCAATCTACTTACTCTATATACTTCAGGGAGACCTTCTGGGTCTGCTTAGTATTGATGGTCAGAATATACATTTGCAGGGCAGCCAGACGGAGGGCCGTGTCATATTTAAGCTCTGATCCAAATCTTTCCAGTACCACATCATTACAGCTCTGGAGGAACCAGAGAGAGCGGGGGACAGAAGGAGGTTATACTTCAGTCGCTTTTGTTATGTTATATGTCTTATCAACATCAGCTGATATTCACCTGAACATAGAGGTACTCAAATGCTACTGCGTCTCTCCTAAGCAGGTCCAGGGGATCCTTTGGGACAAAAGTGATGCGAAAAAAGCACTTCATTTTGTGTGACCCTGGCCTCTGTGTCACCTAGAGTGCAAGTCGGAGATAAGAACGGTCCCATTATTCAAGTGCTTATGTCTACAAAATGCCTAATCACAATTGCTAGAACATATTTCAGGGTTTTTTTTTATATTACATGCAACTTTGATATTAACTTTGTACAGACTGATCTACAACACATGCAAAATCACAAATAATATACAAAATCATGACTAATATACAATCCTAACAGTGATTCAGGGATATTTTAGGAAATAAGCATATCACTTTTTCACCAAGGGTACATCTCATGTCTCTTATAGGCAGCCTTGTTTCCTTCACTTGCATCTTTTCCTCATGTGTTAGTTCCACCCATGTAAGATGTATGGAAAAAATGCAAAGAAAAGAGGAAAACATAATAGAAGAAAGGACTCAAGGAATCCTTCATCTGAAGTGTCCAATCACCAAGTGATTTCTGTTAACAGTGGGATGTTGGTTCACAAAAAATGTCCACAAAGGATGTTCTTGTGTGTCCTCAGTCATTGCTCCTCCAGCACTATCCTCGGTCCTTGCTCCATGGTCATTAGAGCTAATACTGTATAAGTGACTTGAAACGTCCTCCGTCTTCTACCGACTGAAGAGACTTCTGGGTCGACTGAGGACCGAGGACAGAGGAGCAATCTTATAAGAGACATGTGATGCACCCCAGGAGTTACTGTAGATGAGAAGATCAATACAGCTCTGGTGGGGTCCTCCTTTTGATTTGCCAGTCTATTGTTTACCTGCCTTTGTCCTATTTAGTAGCACCCAAGAAAGCTGTCTCACCTGAGTTAGCATCTCCTGCTCATGCAGGAGCATGAGTTTACTGGCAGACCCCTCAGCTCTTTGCTCCAGCATCAGAGAAAAGTGTTCGATGCTCTTAATGGATAGCTTTTCTTGCAGGGTCAAGATGACGTCCTTTTACATAGACAAAGTCATTGTTAATACAACATGAGACCTTTGCCAACGCGGCAGCCTGCTTGCGCACAGCTCAATGCCAGAACTACAATTCACAGCTGAATACACACAAAAACATAACAGTTACTGAAGACACAATCAGAATTTCAACTGCAACAGAAAACAAAATGTCCTTGCTGCTCCACAGTAAATTAAACTCAGACTCCCTTTTGTTTGAAGCATAATTTCAGCTCAGTTTTTCTGAAGGTCATAATGAAGTGAACAGTTTGCATTTTGTAATGTACAGTTCAACAGTGGGCAGCATCCAACATTTAAATCACTTTAGATTATGCAAGAGCATTTCATCGTTTCTTTTTTCCCCCTGCACCTACCTTAATGGATGTGTTGCTGTCAAATTTAAATGATTTAGTCTGCCCATTCTCCAGGTACACCTTCAGAACATTTGGCATAAAAAGAAGGGAGTTGTCCTTCACTGTTTCCTGAGGATGAAAGAAAAATCATTTGATCAACAAACGTCATTTTGTCTTGTTGTAGGGGAAGATTCTGTAATCAAAAGAGCCCTGAGAGGAAGTTATTGCACATTCAAGAACTCAATATTCTGATAATTAAAGGATCAGTTCAGCATTTCAGGATATTTTCTATCAAGATGAGAAGATAGATTCTTTTCTCACACCCGTTTGGTGCAAAGAAATAACACCTTGTTAATTAACGAGAAAGTCCTAGTTTTTGTTCTTACACTCTGGTTCTGCATGAATTAAACAAGACTGAACGGGTTAATTATCAGTGGTGGAAGAAGTACTCAGAGTCCTTACTTAAGTAAAAGTAGCAATAACACAGTGTAAAAATACTCTGTTACAAGTAAACGTCCTGCATTCAATATGTAACTTAACTATAAGTACAAAAGTATTAACATCAAAACATACCTAAAGTACTAAAAGTAAAGTACTCATTTAGCAGAATGGCACATTTAACATTAATGCATATGGTTGGCTGGTAAACGTGGAGCTAGTTTTTACAAGCATATATGTCTATTGTTTGAATTTCTGCTGGGCTACTTGTAAATTTTACACATTTTTGTATTAATCTGGCCCCCAAAAGCAACTAGTAACTAAAGTTATAAAATAAATGTAGTGGTGTAAAAAGTACGATATTTGCCTCTAAAATGTAGCAAAGTACAAAGTAGCATAAAATGAAAATACTCAAGTAGAGATACCTCAAAATTGTATTTTAGTACTTGAGTGTACTTATTCACTTTCTACCACTGTTAATTAGTGAGCTTTAGAGATATTCTTTACAGATATTCTCTGGAGGATATTTTTTTACCTTTTGGACAAAGCCAGCTAGCTGTTCCACTATTTCAAGTCCTCATACTAAGCTAAGCTAAACTTGTGTAACTTCTGTAATAGCTTTGTATGACAGTGGTGCTCTTCTTCCCACCTTACTTTATCAAACTAAAATTTAAACATGTATGTTGTGATTCAATTTAATTTCCAAGACAATGTTGAGCATACATATTAGTGAAAATAATGATGCTGTCCTCTTCTCAGAGGATATGACTGCCTAATATCCTCTTCTCTGTGTGATACATCCAATAAACTCTCTGTCACAGGGTCCCTGGTTTCTGTCAGTTAAACCCACATGCTCTCTATTTTGTGCCAGTGATAGCAGACTGATGAAAAGGGGAACAAAGGAGCAGATGCAGTTCTTGCTCATGCATGTCTTTATTTTGCAGTTAGTGATTTCTAGCATTTTCAGCCTGCTCTGTGCTTGTTATTTTAGAGTTCAAATCTGCTGCTTTCATCACCCATTACAAACCTTGATGTGTACAGAATGAATCAGTGTCTTATGTGACTTACAGGGACCTGACCGTTGATGATGACCTCTTCAGCGAAGCGAACTTTAACAGGATTAGTTTTTAACTTGGCCTTTTTCGCTGCACTGATGAATGCTGATTTGGGTGACTTTTGAAAAAAAAAGAAGAAGAAGAAAAGGAAAAAAGAGAGATTTAAAGGGCAGTCCATTGCTTCAGAGATGAGTCATGTGTTTTTCAGCTGCACACATTTCAAGGACGTTTCCTTCTTGAAACATGACAACCTTCCATTTCTCTGCACTGTACTGATGCGTTTATGGTGGCACAATGTAAGGGCATCTCATATTTGTTATGTCATTGAGCCTGCAAAGAAATGCCTGGCAAAAAGAAATAATTACAGGCTGGATTATAAGAGCTGCTTGGTCCTTGGACTATTATAGAATATTACTCCCATGTTTTCCTGCAAATCAAATCCTTATTCAGGTTTAGTCACCTATTAATTGACTGAGCACACTGAGAGTCCAAAACAATGACAACAAACACAATAGTTAACTAAAATGCATGGTGAATGGCTATGTATAAACATATTTTCAGGCTTTTGGAAAATGTTGCATTATTTAAAACACTGTAATTACTGTCATGGTGTGGAGAGAATTGTAGATTTTATTACACATTTTCCACCATATAGAAACACACTATATTTTGTTTGTCTGTGAGCACACACTGATGCTTTGGTCTAATTTTGGAGGGCATTCAAGCATAATTCCATTTCCACTGACTTATTATGTGAACTGTAAACAAAGGCCAAATATATGCTCCTGGCACTGTGTGTTCTCCACCATCTGGTCCTCTGTCACTCTAGTAAATGTTGATGTGGCAGGTTCATCTGAGGGCTTTCTAGGATCTGACGCCACAACATGAGATGACTTGGAAAACAAGCAGCAATTGGACACCCTTTGAGTAAGCTGGGCTCTAACACTCAGTTAAGGCATTACTGATAAAATGCCAGCACAAACATATGGCATGATTAATAAATTGCATTCAAAGAGTGAACAAAATAATCAGCTCTAAACACACAGCCTGGAATGTGTTAGATTTCATTCATAGAGGATGGAGAAACTTACTGGGTACGGCTGAACAACAGTCAACACTATGGACTCTTTGCAGCTCCTGCAGGGCACAGAAACATTTTTAATGAAATACTGGTTTAAATTTTTTTTTTTTAAACTTTGTTTTTTAGAATAAAATTTAAGATTCTTTTATTAACATTCATGTCTTTAAATGGCTTAGCCCCAAGTAATATAACTGGGCTCTTAAATTTACACAGGCCCTTATGATGTCTTAGGTCTCCTGATCAACTACCCTTAGCAGTGCCAAAATTGAGGTTAAAAAATCAGGGTGGTTGCACCTTCTTGATCTTGTCAGCTGGGATCCTCTTCTGGATAAGCGATATAGACTATGACTTTTATTTTATTGTTGTATGATTGTTGCATGTTGTTTAGGTTTTGGAAAGCACTTTGTAACTGCAGTTTGGAAAAGTGTGATAAATAAACATTCTTCTTCTGCTTTTAATTATTATCATGATTAAATACATAAACATGCAAATAAATAAATGGAACACTGTGGTTTTCCCAGCAGGAAGAACATTATGTCCCAGGGATCCTCCTGGCAGCCTTGTCCTGCCCTGCAGAGTGTAGAGTTTTACTGCAGTAACAGAGCTCGTTCAAAGCCACAGGAGCTGTGAAGGAGTGGCCACATGGGCATTTTTCCCTGTACTAATATACTGATTATAGAGAGCCTCACAGGTCATACAAGGACCAAACCCTGACGGCCAGCTACTCAGCTGTTTCAGTGATATTAATCAAATAAGAAGCAATAAAACACCAGTGTACAGCTACAGTACTTGTAAATCACAATGAAGGGAGCAGGTGGTTAGAATAATGCCATATGTTTTCAGTTGAAACATTATGATACTTCAAAGTAAAAAAAAAAAAAAATACATAGTGATGAACTAATTTAACATTTTCTTTTTTTGATTGTAATTGAATGTCTACAATATGTCTGTAAAGAGTTTATTTATATTGGAAATGAACTGAAAAGGGAAAATATCACATGGAACTACAAAGGTAGTGTATTTTTATAGGTATTTTTACAGTATTTTTTATTTTTATAGGTACTAGACTACCTATAAAAATATACATCCCCCTTGATCAACATTGAATAAAATGAGAAATGGTGACTTTTAAAACCCTGAAATATTCTTATATCCCTCCCTCACTTGTTCTTTTCAACCACCTTTTTTAGAATTATTTGAAGAATGTGTGAAGCAATAATAATTGCAAGCGTTGCTGGAGTTTTGACCTTTCCAGCTAATTTTTCCTCATCTGTGCACCTTGGCTGTGGGTGATGTCATACCAGAGGTTTTTGCATTGTTTTGATAAGACAACAAAACATAAAAACTTCCAGAAAACAAAGAATACTTTTTTAGGCACGGTAGAATTACCAACTACAATTTTAACAGCAGGCTAAATGACATCTCACCTTAGTAGGCTCTCATACCTGACAAGGTCAATAACCCTCTCCCTGGGTGCTGAACTGACTGGCTCATCATTAATCATGATGATCTCATCCCCTGGGATCAGCTTGCCTTCTGATGGACCCCCTGCCAATACACGCCAAACAACAGTTAAGTGGTAGAAGCTGTGCACAGTTGTACCATTTTTCTTGATTTTCTTAGTTTCCTGTTTTGTGGCTGAAGGCTCCAATGAATGCTTACTCATTAGGGGTTGTTGTTAAAATCAGTGAATCATAGACATTAACCACAGAGTGGGTTTCCTTTCCTTTTTTAGCTACATTTTAGGAGAGATTTCATCTTCTTTGGGGAACATACAGTATTGTGAATGGGTCAAATGAAACACTGTTGTGTGGGTCACTTTACCTGGTGTGACTGAACGAACCACCACAGGCTTCTCACTGCCTGCCACAAAGCCAAAGCCAAGGACGGGGTCTCGTCTCATGTCCACCTTCCGGGGTGCTGGTGGCACAAACTTGTCTCCGTCCAGGCGAATCTCCTCCAGGGAGCTGCTCTGGGAGACGTGGCTGCAGGAGGAATAATAAGTTTGTTTCTTGTTTCATTGTGAAATATTGCTTTGATATATGATGTTATGAAATACCTGTTGGTGCTGTATTTCAGGGGAAACAAGAGCCAAATCTTAGACTTGCATAAATTTCTATGCTATCACAATTAAAATGGGAATAGAAATATAGAAATATTTGCTTTGTCAGTTTGTGTTCAGTCATTATACTGCACCAAGCAATCAGAACTAGATAGATAGATAGATAGATAGATAGATAGATAGATAGATAGATTGATAGATAGATAGATTTGATAGGTTTGTTTGTTTGTTTGGAGACAGAATGCCAGATATTGTTTTGAAATGAAGAACTAGTACAGTGTTGGAAAAACAGATCACGTGGGCAATGATAATCAAGTTCCAATGTTTGCATTCTCACACTGCAGATATCCACGGTGTGCTTCACACAAAGGCAGTTACAGTGCGGCTTTCTGTACTACTAGCAGTGTTATGTGCTACAGCATAGGCGTTTGCTTTTCCACACTAATAAAGATGCAGGACAGGCACACTGTAATGTGAAGCGTCACACTGTTGAAATTTCCTGACAGCCTGAGTTTGAGATTTGCTATCACTGAGGTTCCTGCCATCAATAGCTGGCTGCAAACCAACATGCTAAAGTTTACATTTTTTGTCTCTTTGCTTCAGTTACCCTGATGAATGCATTTTTCTTTGTGGTTGCACCACAATTATTATTCCTTCAGCCTCTTGAGGTCAGAAAACGTGCACAAACTGTATGTAGCTTTCATGTACCATGTGATCAGAGGTTTTACAGTGTTCTTCCACTCTCCCTGGCTGCAGAAGCAGCAGCAGCTCCGTATGGTGCCAGCAATGTTGGTTAATTAAAGCCGTGGGCAGACAATGTGTAATTCACAGTTATTCTTGACACATGCACCACTAAATACTAACAATTAAGCTTTCATGGCACAAAGACACATTGAGGTCTGTCAATCGAAACACCAAAATGATGAAAAAACAGTCACAAGATGTTCAGTGCTAAGTGATTGTCAACTGATATTTTGGAGGAACAATTCCTTCATAGAGCTATGACACTGAAAAAAAAAAACACTTGAGCAACTGATTTGACAGTAGGAGTTGAATGCGGCTGCTAAGCAGAACATGGAAGATAACAAAAGATAGAAATGATGTTTATACATTTATTTAACCTTTGTAGTGATTATATTAGCTCTGATCTAGGGGTGAACCCTGTATCTATGATGCTCTCACATCGGTAGTATCTCTGCAGAGAACTATGACCTGGGATATTCTTAGTCCTAGCCTAAAGGAAAGAATAAAAGACAAAGTATGATGAATATTACAACCACTCTGTAAACACCAACTTTATTAGTCAAATGTGTCTTTTGGAGTGAGGTTACAAGGTCTACACTGGGAAACAGACTTTGCTGAGCCTTAAAATTAGCCCCTTAAATCTTATTCTACAATTTATATCAAACAGTACAGAGATGCTGCAAATGAACCTTATGGTGACCTCTTTTACTTCCAGATAAAGTCCAAGACATTGTTTTCTTTGCAATCTGCAAAATCTTTATAGGGTCAGATGAAAAAGGAGCTACAATAAAAACAACATTTTGGTTTCTTAAAGACAACAGCTTACATTATACCTCTTCATTATACAGTGTATGTTTATCCTCTCCTACTCCGCTGTTTTATATCGTGTGCATAAGTAATGTAAAAAATAAAAATAAAAAACTGGGTGCTGGCAAGACTGGCCAATCTTTTTTCCATTATTTTGATTTTTTTATGGTAAATAAGCAAATGCCTTGAAAGTAATGTGCTGCTGACTCAATGTAAACAATAACATGCTAATATAATGTGTACATCATGAGTATTATAGCTACAGCTTATAATATAAATATTTGTAATTTAGACATTATCCTCTTTGTTATTAAAATGATAGTGAGCATAGCAACACATCTGCATTAATCAGAGGCTGAAGCATTTTCTCTCTTTCATACTGACAGATGTTTTTCAAGTGGTGTCCGTCCAATGTTTGATGTTGTTCTTGCTGTTTGTCTTTATTCTATATATACTGTATATACTGGTTTAATAAGCTTTTATTCACAGCCAAGTGCTCAAACAGCTGAACAAATTTTTATTCCAAACACAAAAAAATGTTCTCATTTGATGCACTTAGCCAACCAATGTTTGTGCTTATACAAATATTTGTACTTACTATGCCAGTATTGCAAAAGTAAGTAAAGAAGGCCTTAACAAATGCTAAAGTTAAACTACATGAATCGCTTGATTTGCTCTGATGTTTTAATCACAAATGCTACAATAGCACAAATGTAGAACAGCTGCTACAATAACTTAGTGTATTGTTACAAGGGGAAAAAAGATGAAGAAAAAGAAGGAATCTGTTTCATCCTCATTAAAAATGAAAGCATTTTGACAGTTCCTATATGACAAATCACTCAACCTTATCACAGTTCTGAGACACATTTAGTTTGAAATTGTGTGTCAGTTTTATCTCTCAGATGGCAATCTCAACAGATTGTGAACAAATCAAAACCACATGGACCTGTGCATTCAGGAAGAATGCTGTCTCCTCCCCTGCATGGCCACCTGTTAAACATGGCTAGGTTCCCATTGTGCAGACAGCCATGCATCTAATGATCTCTAATCACACCCATCAACTGCTAGTGTAGCTCCACAGCCATCTATACAGCAGTCACAGTCACCCTGCGAGCTACACAGTTATTAAGAAAATGAACCAAAATGTGCAGCACAAAATGCCGACCTGACTGTTGCTGTACGAAGGCTATTTTCACTCTTTCTTTCTCAAATTGTATTTTTGACTAAGTGGAGAAAACTGATTACCAAAAGCAATATCCTATTTCCCTTGTTGTAAACAGATGCTTTGACACTGATGTAATTATATTTGAAGACAACCTTTTTTATTTTTATTTTTAAATTATGCAATCAAAGCCAGTATTTTAGGGCTACTTATTTTTTAAAAATATATTATGAATTTACTCAGCCTCCCTTATAGAAATCTAGATGTCTGTTGAATGTGGTAAATGCCTTCATGAGATCAGTTTAAATAAAGATGGAACTACTGTTTTACTTTACTTAAGAGTTTGCAATTATTCCCTGAACTGCATATGTTAAATAATGTGTTAAACATTAAACATTCATGTGTTCCTGTCACACATGAGACACATGTGTTCCACTGACAAATACAACAATTTAGTATCATCATCCTGGAGCCTTGACAATCTCAGATGGCCACTGACAGGCACAGAACCACATTGATTTGGATTATTCATGACATTTTCTCAAATTTGGAAACATGGAGCCAAAACAGCCTCCATTATCTGCCTCATCTAGACACACTCTCCATCCAGCATTTTCACTGCTCCTTACTTCTTATGTAACTCCTCTGACATCATGCTTCTCATGATATAACCCATGTGTGACAAGTGCTCACCTCCTATTCTGTATACTATACAAATATAAAAAAATAACTGCTGTGCATGAGTACATGTCACATTCTATTATAATAAATATCTAGTGAACAAATGAGAAGAGCAAATAATTAGGAAGTCTGAATCCAGTATGGACAGGGGTTCATAAATACAGCAATATTTTTAGATCTAGTATGAAAACATATTGCAGATCTCAGGTATGAAAAAATAAAAGAAAGCCCGACCAGATCAACAGAACAGATGAAACAAGCAATCACTCATTAGACCATGTTCACACAAACATATAAAGAACCAGCTGAGGGTTTGTCATTACCTGCCTGTGCAGATATCCAGAAGTGCCAGTCACAGAGGATCAACTATGCCAATTACACTAAAGCCAAGCATCCTCTGAGGAACATGCAGACTCAAAAAATCAAAACAGATCCCAGCACTGGTGAATTTCTTCATCATCATCAGCAACAGCAGCAGCAGCCACGGTAGCAGCAGCATACAGTATACACAGATACACACACACTCTCAAAACCCCTCTTCTGCATTTGGGAGACTGCATGAGGAATACTGTGGGTGTGCGTGAGAGTGAGAGAGAGTGAGAGTGGGCAGGGGCAGAGTGTGCACAGCCGTGGAGAGAAGGGAGAATCAGTATTCCAAATGCACAGATGGAGACAGTGTGGAGGCAGTGACGTGGCTGGAATAATCACAGGTTGGCAAAGCGTCTGAAACATCTGGGACAGAGAAAGCTCCCCTTCTGTTTCTTTAAACATAGGGCACTTACTTGATGTAGCAGTCACGCCTCTCTCTGTTGGCGCCTATGTCCCATCCATTGGGGGGTCCCTGTGAAGTGCTCCAGGTCCCTGAAGGGGGAGGCCAGCCTGAGGCTTTGGTCCTGTGGCTACAGAGGAATAAAAACATAGATCAACTTTAGATTATTTTTTGTGGTGTCATTAAAGCCTACTTACACCACTTGTAGTATCAAGCTCCAAGGTGGTATTTAAAAAAAATCAGCTAATCTAATTGCAAAAGAATTTCAAAACAATATTTCAGAGATTTAAAAATCATAATAAAAATAAATAAGCTGTGGGCTGAAATTAAGCGGTAAGAGAATGTCTGATTCCGGCATGATAAACAATGTCCCATGGCCATAGTTCATTCAGTGAACACAAATCAAATTAATTATGCAAGATAGACACACAGGCGGCGTTGTCACGCCTCACTCTTGTGCTTTGAGAGGCATGAAATTGGTTTTATTTCTAGATGTCAGCACAAACTTTGTAAAAGAAGATATCCCTAAAGAATGATCTTATAAAGAAGTTATTTGCTTTGCTCAAATTTGATCCAGTCAGAGAATACAACCAGCTGCATTCATTGTTCACTAAACAATTAGCTTATTGTATAAAGTACAGCATTTGTCTAAATCTCAGTTTCAGTTGATTTTTAGATTTAATCACCAAAACCCCAAACTCTGTGCAGCCATTTCCCCGTGCTACAAGTTGGCACAGTGCAGGCATTCAGGGGTGTTGCAATTGGTTAAAACATTTGCATCACTCTCTCTGTCTGCACGCCCCCACCCCCACCCCCCATCCTTGTATTCCCTTTATCCTTGTCTCTGTGTCTGCACACTGGTGATGCTATGAAAGCAGCGGCAGTAAGTTATGTCACTTCAAAAGCTTGTCTGCTCTGTAACAGGGCTCTTCACATTCATTATTCAAAGCCCCTCTTTCTTTGCCTCTAAATGTTTCCCCAGTCACTGTGCTGATGACAATAAATTGTGCGCGGTATGTTTGTGTCTGTAAGAGAGGGTGTGTAAGTGTTTGCACCTATCGACATGTCTAACTTTATCCGTGCATATGCCCATTTCACAAGCAATTTATTGCAACTTAAAGTACAAGTCACTTAAACTAATAAACAAAACACACCTGTGATACCTGTCGCTTCAAACCATCATTAATTCATAAAACAACAAGCACCATAGCTGAAAATTGTGTTATTCTCTTGTGCACTATACTTTAAGTTGGTGTCTGGACACAGGACATAATCTGATTTCATTTCGTGTTTGGGGGTGGGGGGTGTTAGTGTTTCCACGTGGATATGGATTTATTTGACCTACAGGACATGTGCTCGATGGTGTATATTTAGAACACATTTCCTGCAGCTCAAACAATGTGTGTGGACACAACTGGGTTCTGTCTGACACTGCTGGAGCCATGTTCACCTCAATGAGGAGACCTACAAGTACCCTCCATTTCAGCTTTTGGGATAAAACTAACAGCCATACTAACACGAGTGGTGTTTGATGTCATGGATTTACACATCTTAGACAACAAATGTCATTTATTAAAGGTCAAAGACCTGAATAATATTTGGTATTTTACCAAGATTACACCATAAGCAATGATATGTGTGACATTTCACCAAAGGTCTATAACATAATAAAACATTTTGTACTTACAATTTCTGATGCTCTGTCTTCAAAATATGCTTCTGAGCTGACAAATAGTTCCACAAATTTCATTTTCTGTCTCTCAGCCACAATGTCCTGGTATTTACAACACAATCATAGCTACTGTGATTTTTGATTTCTCTTGTCTGCAGGCAGGATGTGCATTATGCCCCTGAGTTGTAGCACCCCAGCTTAGCAGACAGGCTGAAAAGGTTCACCCACTAGTGGACAATGAAACTGATCTTCCTCAGCTAGCATTAATAAATGATGCCTGCATGGTCACGCTGGACTAAGTAATCGAGCACGAAGTGTGCAAGCCATGCTGCACAATTCATGAACAGGTTACCCAAGAGTCACAGCAAGGACAATTACAACAAGTTGTTCAAGTTGCAAATGTAGGTCCAGAGAAAACTGCTCTCAAGACAAATTGCACCAAACCTAAAAAGTGCATGACATTTTGCGGGGTTTGCACCTTTCTTTGGATTCGCACAGTAGCAACCACAGACCATTATAAGACATTAATGACAAAAAGGAAAAGCAAAATGGGTTTTGCTCATAACAGTAACAATCTGTGTGGACCTGTTTCTAGCACACCAACTGACACAAGGGCTTTTTTTTTTTTTTTTTTTTTTTTTTACTAAATTTGAAGATTATGTCACCATTTTCTTCATTTTGTGCTTTTTGCTGTCTTTAGTAATGAACAGTGGCAGGCTGTCGTCCAAATTTATCAGGAACTATAAAATTTGGAAGATACTGGTTTAATTGTACTGTTTGACAGATGGAGAGAAGATCATTTTTCAGTCCTTCATAAAAATTGCATGAACATTGTGATCCTTGCCTTATCACAGCAGTTCACTTTCGCTTTCATCTCACAAGTTGCGAAGAAGTGTTCTGGTACGTTATGAAGGCTGGGATGTTGGAAGTAACTGTGCGTTATAGACAAGTCACAGCCAAGAAGAGCACATTCCAACACAGTCACTCAAGTCAGTTTGAATAATTTACTCCAACAATCTCCACGAGTCTTGGTTACATGACACCACACTCCACATGCTGAATATTAAGGAAGTATATTTTATCATGAGGTATTCTGAGACTTATTTCCTCTGAGATTAATGACTCCCATTAACACATGGTGGCAAACTTTTGTAACACTTTACAATCAAGGTTACAAATCATATACTTAAGTAATGTTTAACTAATGCACAACTCATGATGATTTAATGCATGAAATACTGCGAGATGTATCATGAGTTCCTATCACCCATCATTCACAGATGGATTTCTGTGATTAGTTCAAACTTAATATATCATCAATTACGGAACATTAATTCACATTTATTTAATTAATTTAATTAATGTGCCACCAACTTAGATGCATTCTAGTTAGACAAAGGTTAATTTCAAACTTGATAAGGAGAACTTTATCAGTTCTAATGGAAATATGAAATCTTGTGCCAACATGTTGCTGGCATTTTCTTAAAGTCCCTTTTTATAATTTTTGCAGTGTGTTTTTTTCTAACTTGTCAATGTGGCATAAATCCATACAACCATGCATTCAGTATATACATAGAGTAAATAGACGTTCATGCAGCAACATTACAATAGGTACCATTACAATAGGTACTATTCTGCTTATGGAGAGGCTGATCAAATGCATGGGTCTGAAATTAACTTTTGTGTTACTGGAATGCAGCTAATTTGGTGGGACATCACTAAATGTATGAAGTGAATGAACATTCCTAAAAAGATGGTCTATTAAGTCTGAACTAATTCCTGAAGGCTGCAGTGACATGTTCATTTGTAAATGTTGAATAACAGGAGCTCATGATACATCTTGCAGTAATTCATGTATTATATCATCGTGAGTCATACATTAGTTAAACAATACTTAAATATATGATTTGTACCCTTGTTGTAAAGCATTGCCCAGAGGACCAAACTTTGCATTTCCTAAGCGGTTCTTACATCTTTCCCAAAATGCACTAGCTGAGAAACAAAAGAGTATCCCCACATCCCAAAAGTGACATTAATCTCACTTTTTTTATACATACCATATAACATGACTCTTGCTAGTTTGGTCTGTGTGACTGAACAAGCTATTCTCTTAAGTTTGAGGAACATTCAGAACAGTTTCTGCCACATAAATACACATAAACACCATAGGCTCGCAGAGTTACAGCAACTTTACTGGCACATCTAATGAAATTTATACATCTTATAATTCAAATCTGTATGGATTTTTTTTCTTTAATCCACTGCATTAGCTGAAGCCAGAGATAACCTTTGTGCCTGTCACTCCACTGTTTGTTATTGCCAATCACTGTTCACATTCTCAAAGTAATATTAAAATAAAAGGTGTTTATTCACTTGTGACAGGGAGTGAAGTGTTTCAAGTTTGTCTTGAGCCTGCGACTGTGTGACTAGCCTGTGGCTGGCTTTACCTGTTTGTTTGTCCTCTTGTTTTGCAGCTAATAGGTGGGTGGACCATCATTTGGACAAGAGGGAGCTCGTGGGCCCAGGGCTCCTGTGTAACTTATAAATAACCCCTCACACCTTCAGTGGTTTATTTGCAATTCTGTTTATCATTTGAATTTTCTTTATGTAACACCTTATCATGCAGCCACTCACACATCTGCTGACTTTACACAATTGCACACTGCATGATGTCTGATTTATGTTGTAAGTGCTCACAAGTTTAAAGTCGGTGTCTTTCACTGTTATTTGTCATGGTGTGAGCTGGTCATGCAAGATACATGGTGAGGAGGCAGTGCTCTTGAATTAAACGGAGACATTTATGCAGAGCTAATGCACTAATGTGATTCTGTTGGGATATGAAATCTGTGGAGAGGCAGCAGATGAGAGGGCCATCTCCTGGTAGCAGGACAGGGAGTGGAGCAGAGAAGTGGCTCAGACAGAGAGGAACCTCTCTGATGAATGGCCTTTTACTTCTGATCCTCTTTTAAACTGCCTGTCTTTTGTTTCAGAAAACATCTGCCCTCTGCATGACTTCTCCAACCACCACTTTGGCTCTAATCCTTTGGTCAACAAGGCAGCACAATAAAACAGTCAGCTAATTATACTGTCTGTTATTTATCTGCCACTGCTAAAGTGAAACTTTATGATGTTGTTATGCATAATAGATCAAATTCATGTTGTTGTTCTCATCCATTTTGTGACTTAAACATCACTGTTTTTATCCTCTTTACCTTTTGTTTATTTGACATTGAAGACAATCACTACTTTAATCTGAAGGAGTGCATCAACACAATCAAATCAGGCATCGGTGACTAAAATTCATACTTTGCTCCATATACCGCGGTGGCATTATGCAGCAATATTGAAATTTTCTATGCAATGCATTCACTTCAGAATAAGAGTGTCTATTTTCCCTATAATTCTCACTGAATATTGTATTTCTGTGTTTGTCTTTGGAAGCACTGATATTGTTGCCATGGGCAACCGCACTATTCGGAGCTGCTTTCTGGTGCCTCTATATAGAAAGGGTTTTGGTTAGTTAATCTCCTCTCAGTGGAAATAAAACATCATCTGGGAAACAGTCCACCCACTGTGATCCTCCTGCGAGTTTACGGTAAGTAAGTGAGCCTCACAGTCCTGCTGTGTTTAGTTTACCTATAGAAAAACCTCATCAACTTACAAAACAGCTACTATTCAAACACTGGATACATAGTCTGTTGCAACACTTACAACACAATAAATAAGAAATCAGGTTGTAGGTGGGCGAATGCACACAGACACACACATACACATGCACACAAAACATTTCTCAATCTGTGTAACTTTCCCTTATTCTATTATGGATGGTAGATGCAGCTTGAATAAAAGAGAGATGCAACGCTAATGAAAGACATTGATGCTTTTTTAGTTATTATTAGTTATTAGTATTATAAAATAGCAGTTCTCCCAGGCCTCTTTAGCTCCATAGTATAAAACTTTATCCAGATATAGTGATGAACCTACAATGTGGGAACTGAACTGGACTTGGATTCTCTTGCACCTCATTGTGATACGTGCACCTTTTATGATAAAAGCTTTAAAGGGCAAGACAAAATAAATGGTCGCATGGGACCTCATTCACCAGCCAGCCAGCTCCCGTTGCTGACCCTGAGCCATGCCCGATCTACTCCTGATTCAAACAGCTACAGTAAGGATCACAAATCTTGTAGCCTTTGTTCACTTTGACGAACATTTAAACCAGTCACTCTGTTCCAGATTTGTGATTTCATGTGCTAATGTTTTGTGGTCAAGACATGTCAAACAATGGCTCACAAAATAGATTTTTTTAAAAGAAACACAACCAGGAGTGAAAGATACAAGTAAGCAGCAGCAGAACTCACCCAGTCCAACATAATTTGATCCAATCTTTCTTCCATTTTATTCATATTAAGGAAAAACCTTAGAGGTCTTGCAATCTTCTGTCCAAAAAACATTTTCACTCACACACACTACTGAGTCAGGCAATCACTATGATGGAGTGTTAATTGGCACTTTCTCTATAAATATGTAATGTTCATCCTCATTATCTCTACAGTGCTGTAGCTGACAGACCATTTATAACACCCACGGGATGTAGGAAAATTATAACAGCACTTCTAGATGAGTTAAGCCCAAGTTTTGAAACAACTTTGGTCAAATGACTCCAGCATGCCTTTTTAAATCAGAAAACATGGAAGTATTGAGTTAGTTATCTTTCAATAAAAAAAAATATCAAAAATGGAATCCATGACTAGATTTAAACATAACAAAGAATGAAGGGAATAGAAGTAGGAGCTTTCTTTTGTTTCTGACAGCCGACACATCTGGGGTCACTGTGAGGGAGGAGGAAGAAATAATGAAGGCTTTAATTCTTGCTGGCAGGTGAAAGGGAGAAATCAAAAACCACCAATGTAGCAGTTGTAACCCATAATTAGGGACAACACTGTGGCATTAATAACAGCGACAGGATGTAGTGACGTTGGTGGCCCACAGGGAGCCGCATCCAATGCTGCCATGGAGGGATACTAACTAGAAAAAATGGTCCGATCATTTGATGGAAAAATCACTGCTACTATATCAAAAAGAGTCATGATTTACATACAACAGAACAGAATACTGAGGCGCAATATTAGGCTTCAGCACTATTAAAGCTTCAGTAGTTTTCTGTCATAGTCCAGATGTCATGTTTCAATCTATATTAAAAAACTAAAAACTACTAGTGCAGCCTAGTGATGACTCATAGTGAAAAGAAAATAACCAAACGGGCATTCTTGTGACACATACAGTATAGTATCTAATTTAATATTTTCCCATTTGTGATCAGCTGTTGCCAGCACTGGTGGTTTGTAATGATTCTGATGGAGCCAAATCCCTTAGGATGATTGCTGCCCACTGGGGCAGATCAAGTCAATCTAGCGGACTCATTGATGCATAAGGTGAAGTGTGTGCTCTGGCAATGAATGAATTCCTCAAGACTGTTAGTTCAGCATGTGCAGTACTACACATGCAGTGTCATACCTGCATACTTGTAAAAAATAAAAAATAAACCAACCAAGTGAAGAAAAATAAATATAAAAAAGAAAACTGAAATGTGTTTTTTCTCCCTCTTTTATAGGGTTGTGCGCGCGCGTGTGTGTAAAACAGCAGTACATCACCTGCAGGTTTTCCTTCGGTTCTGGCAATAGGTACAGTATTTGAACTCCTTATATTGAATGACCACTCATATATAATGACTAATGAGCAACGACAGATCAGTCATTTATAGTACATAAGGAAGATATGTTTATATTATGCAATCAAAATATAGTGTTTGACTTAAAACCCCATGGCCTTTAATCAATTTTTGTAGGGTTTCAACATTGTTATTTCATGACGACAAACCATAACCACTGGCTGCACCATGAGAAACTGTATGAACTTACTGTAGATACAAACACTATGGATACACAAATCGCATCACATTTTGCATCCACCCACGCTCCTATCTATCTCACTAGCTCATTCATTTCACATCATACATGACTGCACAACTTGCTTTCTTGAGCAATCAATAACTCAGCATTTTTAATCACTGTTCCACATTGTACTTATGTGTCACACTCCGAATTGTGCCTTTGAACATACAAAACGCCACAGCAGGGATGTCCACAGCAATTACAGAGCAGCGTGTATCGGACTCACCCTGACAGCTTTGGCATCTTCACAAAGCTGAACACATCCATGTGTGCTGCAGACTGCAGTCAACGCTACAAATTTACCATCTACTTCACTCTGGCTCCCTTCTCCCACTGTCTTTGACAGCGGGGAATAAATAATTCAGGCAAAAAAGTGAAGCTTCCACAAGTCAGGTGGAGGGATTAGTCTTGCTGTCTGGGTTTCTGCATGGCTGACTGATTGCTGTCCTTGTCTCAGCAGCGCAAATCCACAGCCCATGGAAAAGGACCTGGCAGCGCAGCTTCCCCGGTTACATCCTTCAAAGCATGCCTCTGTTAGTTGCGTTAAGCCACCTTCATTTAATTTCCATCGTGGGGGAATGATGTGCGGGAGCAGCACAGTAACAACAGCTTTGGAGAGAGGCAGAGAGAGCCAGAGCGAGGGACAGAGTAAGGGAGGGAGGGACAGGGGGGTGGAGGTGGCGATGGTGGTTGGGAGATAAGAATGGAAGAGAGAGGAATAAGAAATGTGCAAGGATGGTGTTTAGCAAGTGCCACAAGGATTGCTTCTAAAGGATGCAGTCAGCTTCCAAGAATTCCCCAAAGGCTAGTCTCATCAATCCTTAAACATGTGGTTGTTTCCATTTAACAGGAAAAGATTGGAAAGCATGACGAAGAGGAAATGACAGAGGCACAATGCATGTAGTGCACATAAAGTGAGTGCAAAAGCAACAGAGGAGCAGTGAAAGCAGCTGGAGAGACAGGAGGACCTAACGTGTCCCCTCCCCAGCTGATCTCTCTGCCTCCCAGCTGCACATTAGGATGCCCATACTGTACACTGCGTTTGTTTTGACCTTTCAAAACAGTTCAGCTGCTAAATGCTCTCTTGTCAAAGAGGCCGCTCATGAGAGGCCTCCAAACATTTTCGCAAAACACATACAGTGCAAACACAGAGCTGCTGCACTGTTCTCGAAATCAGAATATGCACAAGGAAATTCCAAGATTAGAAACGCTGGGTTTGTGTGATTAATCAATGTGCAGAGGAGAGAAGATGAGGCCTGCTGTGATTCACAGTGCTTCAAGTAATCAGCTGCATCTTAACAGATGCAGATTACTTGAAATATATCTCCATAAGTTTTCATATCTTTTCTTCATCCAGTTCAAAATGTAGGGCCATTGCAATGTGTCTGGGATTCTTTATTTTATGTCAGAGTTTCATATGTCGATAACCGATAAATGAGCAGGAGAGTCCTGAAATTTAAAAACCAAATATAATTTGACAAAGAATAATTCTAACAACATCACATTCTAGCCCCACCTCCGGATGAATAATCACCAAATGTCCTTTATCTTGTAGAGGAATAATCACCCCTCATAAATAACACCACCACCACGAGGCACCTCTGTCTAACACCACCAAGAGCCAATTAGCCTCGTCTGTGATCCAAAGAGGTTTGATACTACTTTATGTGGCTCAGATAGGCTTGATAAAAGGAACTTCTCACAGTAATACAGACAGTTTATTCTGTTATCGTGATCTGTGATCTGCCAACATATCTGGAATATGCACAGGTACAAGGCTACAAACAGCAGCCGGTCTACATGTTAAATAATTTGTTTAAACACAGCTTTTTACTGTTATCAATAAATATAGCTTAAACGATCTATAAGCATGAAGTTGTATAAATCCGATACTTTGTTTATATATGCAACAGTAGAGACAAAATAATATCTTCTACCTAGTTATATTCTGCTTGAATCTGCTGGGAGCTTGACAGAATAACAAACAGCCAATCAATACAAACGTCGGGTAGTAATGGGTAAATAAATACAAATGCAAAGAATACAAACACTAGTTGAGTAATTTCAAGCTACAATTTGTTACTGCTTCCACTATAGCAACCATCCTATATTTAAATGCCACAACTTGTAAGGCACTGCAGGGTGATTCAGTGTGCCTTTCCTTAGAGTGATACATGAAATAAAGGATGGTGTCACTTCCACTCACGGTCAGGCTCAGATTCATTTGCTGCCAGGGAAAAGATGCAACAGGATGGGCAAAACTGTGAACCTCCTGGCTGGCCCTGACAGATTTGAATTTGTACTAAAAATCTGTGATGAGTTGATCCAATTGTTTCCTTTTTTGTGGTGTACAAGCAAGACATCAAGGATGCACCGATGAGCAAGGAGAACACGACTGATCTGTGGCGGGAGGCTTGAGAGACTCGACATATTCTGGACAGTTATGTTTGTCCATTTGGTCTGTGGCCCAGAGGCCAGCACAAGTGGCAGAGGATATTAGGGTCAGACAGGCATGTGATCTAAGGAGACCATGGCTGAAGCTTTGACCAATAAAATCCTGCTGCCCTGCTGAGCCCTGACTATCCTTTCTCTGAGTCTCTTTTTAAACATCTGATTTCAGTCATTCTGACACACTCTGCCACTGAAAACCCAGTAGTGCTTCAATTTTGCACATCCTGCCTTTGGATAATGTTGCTTGCCTTTAAAAGATAGAATAAGTAGATTATAACAACTGTTCATAAATTGCTAACCATGGTAGATATGTGCTCAAAAGCATCATAACACTAGATTTTACCGAGATGTCCAAAGCAGCAAGGGTATCATATTTTCATATTAAGTGTTTTACTGCAGATTGCACAGCATGATAAATGCAAATGTGCGCTGCAGTGATGTCACTGTATAGCTTTTACTGACTTCTGATCCCAGCTTAGCATTAGCAGCCCCTGGATATAAACCACATGTGTGTCAGCAGCCCCTAGAAACCTCACTCAACTGCCTCACCCACTCTGTGTTTTCTATTTTTGTGTGTTTATCAACATGTATCTGCCTATGGGCCGTATCACTACCTGAATTTTCCTAATCTGTTAGTACGACACTAATTATGCCAGATTTATTTTGTGAATTCAACAGCATTTAAGGGGAACTTTAAAGATTTGAACACTGTTTTGCCATGGATATTCAGTGGTGTGACTAATTGGGATAAGAAGTGAAGTGTAACCTGGCTGAGTCATGCTACACTTTGATAAGATTATGGATTTGGTTTGATAGTTTCACTACATCTGCTGATAAACTTCAAAGTAATACTTGGAGGCTGAAGCCTATTCTGTGTGGAGTGATAAAAAAATGACAGAATGGGGATACTACCAAGAAGCTCCACACCTACAGGTACTGAGTGCCCGGTTAACTTTCAGGTTATTAAGCATGTTCATATGGGTCATTGGCAGGTCATGTCCCATCAGCTCTCCCAGCATGGACTGGGCAATTGCCTGGATACACAATGGACATCCTCCAAAGCTGTACAAACTGTTTCTAACATTAGACTATTAAACTGAACCTGACTAATTTATATCTGACTTAATGCAAACCTTGTTGATCTGTCTGAATATGCCCATATACAATAGGCCTGTATCACTGCAGAGATTTTGATGCACCATAGGCAAGGTATGGCATTTTAAGACATTTTACATGCTGTAGGTAAAAAAACTCTTTTATAGCAGGAAGAGAACAAGTACTACTAATTAACATTGTTGCTGTTCTAATTAAAGCAGCTATAATCAACAATGTAATGTAGCAATATATCAAATGACAGAATGAAAACAATGTGATGATGTGAAAGGGACCTCAGCTACTCTTAAACCTTCAGAGAATTATCACCCGAACCTGCAGATCCCCTCAGCTTCACCACAAGTTTCAGCTCATTGATTGGTTTTCTGGCACACAACTTTACTATATTAGTTCATTTTCACCACTCAATAGCAGCGCTGTGAGCCACAGCAGGCAGCTGTTTTCAGTGAAAACGCTCTAAAAAAATGACTGCATATTATCTGCTCAGCGGGAAATGGCAGACAAGAACAGTATAAGCAACTAGCTGGTAAATATAGTCAAACATCAAGCAGCTAAAGAGCCAGAAAGTTCCCTCGGGAGTTGGCAGAGACCAAAAATAGTCAGTAGTGGACATTCACCATGTGGCCAGAAACATGACTCCACACGAATGGTAATGTTACTATGTAACTGCTGGGTGTATAAATGTTTGCTAAAAAGTTGACAATATCAATATTATCTTAATGTCATGTTTGCAACTTGTTTACAATTTACATGACCAAACAAACTCATTCAATGCAGTTTTAAGTATCTCAGTAAACAAAGACAGTGAGTGAGTACGCACAATAACCAAATCCTTGAACTGACAGATCTAAATGGAATACACCAACACCAACTGATAACAGTTATTAATTACACCTTTGCTTTGTCTATTACATGTCAAACTGTGGCTGCAAACTGCAATACTGTAGATTCTTTAGTATACTAAGTATCTGCAGTATAATCTACAGCTCTGCAATACTGATGTTTCAGTGGAAAGCCATATATAGCTCTACAGTACATTGGTTTCAGCATTACAAATGTCACTAAGGTGCAGAGATAAATGGATGAGTTCTTGTGAAAGAGCTGTGAATCACAAAGGATAACTACATCAATCCAACAGGAATATGCAATACCTTTCCTGTGAGGCGGTGGTAATAAATAGGCTGGATGAAATCGTAGCATTACAACAACAAGCACAACATAAACAAAATCTACTCTTTGTTCTTCAAATGCATGACGGCCATTAATTTTCATCATGATGTAACACTGAAGTGAAAAGCTAGCAGGCTTCTTATGCATACATGATCTTAGGAGTCTAAAGTCTGTTTATAATAACTGCCATCAGTGCACTAATACGACCAATCCAGAGCACGATACTCACTGAATGACAGTGAAGATGCCAAGTTCACTGTTGTCTGGGTCCATTGGTGATGACAAGTCTCTAATGCAGTACTTGTTTCAGTTTTTCCTGTCCATGTTGTTCAAGCTTCTTACACTGATCTGTGCACCAGTCCTTTTCTCCTAACTCCAGAGTTTCCTTGCTTGATTTGGACTTTCCACAGGTAGCTGAGCTTGCCGGACTAAGCCATTCAGTTATGATTACATACTGTACAGTGTTCCTGTCAGTGAGTGAGTGGCCATGCCCTCGAGGAGGAGGCTGAGCTTGTTGCTTCTGCCTCAGTAATTAAATAGCATCACATTCCGGGCCAGTGCATCAAAAAACACAAAGGGATCAATGCTGAACAGCTGGACTCCAGGGTTGCTGTGCTGGTGAAGACTGCCTCAATCAACAAGGTTCTTATGGAACATTCTGTTCTGAACGGTTCTGTTTGGGATGAAATTCACTCATGGTGTTTTCATGTTTCAACTCAATTCCAGCAGTTATAACAGGGGAATTAAAACATAAAATCATAAAATGCAAGTGTTTCCAGCTGCAGTCACAAACATCAGTGTTTCATCTTGATGGTATTTTAGCACATAACTAAATTGCAATATATGAAACATTAATCTGACTCCTGTCCAAGGCATTTAGAAATGGCATGTGTTTTATCATCCATGAGAGCTT